TACTCCTCGACGTACAGCCGTCCATTTAGCGACCGTTCAAAGTTGCAACGGCCGTGGAAAAAAGCGAACCGGTCCTCACACTTACGACCGTTGCAAGCATCCCTTGCTGTCGCTCGGTCAAAATTCAGACCCTCGGGCAACCAGCATCCTGGGATCCAACGGGTCCCCGTCTGCGACCTTCCCAGCCGGCTTGCGACAAGCAAAGACAACGGAGGCGGCTGGATCCGCTTAACGACCAGGCGATTCCCTTTAAAAACTGAAGTGATTCGCTTAACGGCAAAAAAAGTCGTAAAATCGGGCACGACAACCCCCCCTTAAGAACCCCCTTGCTTAGCCAGGGAAATTCTGCTGTCTCTCTCTCTCTCTCTTACGTCGTAAGTCGAGGACTACCTATAGAATGGGAAATTGTTCGGGGGGGCTCCAATTTTTTATTATTATTATTATTATTTTTCAAAAATGGGATTTTTGGCAAAACGCCCCCAGGTTGCAGGCAAATCTTTTATTAACGGGCCGGTTGATAGACAGGAGGATTCGAATGTCAGAAAAAGTGACGCCCCCCCCCACACAAAAGGCTTGGTCCTTATTTGACTGGTGGGGAGGGGGAGAAGGAGAGGCCCATGAAGAAAGACCCCCCCCAAATTATTCAATTTGAAACGGCTGGATCGCATCGCCTCGGCTCGCCTTAATAAAGCCAACTTTGCTTTGAAGCTACGTCTGTGCTTTTCCTGACTTAGGAAAATTCAGATTTTGCACACATTTTGGGGACCCCCCCAACCCCAATAACAAGGAGATTAGCCGTAAACATGGGGAGGGTCCTTCCTTCAAGCAAGGGGAGCTGTGCCCCCCAAAAGGATCCGAGCCAGAAAGGTAGATTCATATCACTTTATTTAGGCATAATTAAAAAGCCCCCCCACCCACCCAGATACAAGGTGAAGACCCCATTAAGATATAAATCACTTTATATATATATACAGTTATTGTATAAATACTTTATCTACTGTATACAGTTCAAGCATGCATGGATGTTTACAGCCACTCGTTTAGTGACGGGTCAAAGTTAGAACAGCATGGCTGGCTGGGGAATTCTGGGAGCTGAAGTCCACCCATCTTAAAACAGTCTGGCTGGGGGATTCTGGGAGCTGAAGTCCACCCATCTTTAAGGATGCTGGCTAGGGAATTCTGGGAGTGGAAGTCCATCCCTCTTAAAGCAGGCTGGCTGGGGGATTCTGGGAGTTGACGTCCACCCATCTTAAAACAGTCTGGCTGGGGAATTCTGGGAGCTGAAGTCCACCCATCTTTAAGGATGCTGGCTGGGGGATTCTGGGAGTGAAAGTCCATCCCTCTTAAAGCAGGCTGGCTGGGGAATTCTGGGAGCTGAAGACCACCCATCTTAAAACAGTCTGGCTGGGGGATTCTGGGAGTTGATGTCCACCTGTCTTAAAGCATGGCTGGCTGGGGAATTCTGGGAGCTGAAGTCCACCCATCTTTAAGGATGCTGGCTGGGGGATTCTGGGAGTGGAAGTCCATCCCTCTTAAAGCAGGCTGGCTGGGGGATTCTGGGAGTTGACGTCCACCCATCTTAAAACAGTCTGGCTGGGGAATTCTGGGAGTTGAAGTCCACCCATCTTAAAGGATGCTGGCTGGGGGATTCTGGGAGTTGAAGTCCACCCCTCTTAAAGCAGGCTGGCTGGGGGATTCTGGGAGTTGAAGTCCACCCCTCTTCAAGTGTGCATTTTTGAGAGACCCCTGCCCCAGCATCCAAGCTTCGTGCCTGCCCCCTGCTCCTCCCACCCAGGGCCCATGAAGTTGTGTCACCACCGCAGGGCACACCCAGGCCCAGCTGTTCCCCAGAAGCGGAGAAACTTCCGGGCATTCTCTTTGGAGGCAAGGATGCCGGGCCCACCCCGGTCGGTCTTCCTAGCATGGGTCCCTCGGACAG